CTCTTCTTCTCTCTCTCGCTTGCTAGATTCTCCCTCTATCATCATTGCAGCTTCTTGTCCTATTCAAATTGAAATATCCAATGGAAATAAAGCAATAACCATTTCCCCCTCTTGGCGGATGAAGACAATAAATAAGGTGAGTTTCCCTCTGAGGCGCTGCCGTCAGGATAGAGCAGATACATAATGAAGTTATGAAAATCGGTGATGAGACAAATTGGGTCATATACATCTTTATAATAAATGGCTTACAGATATCACAAGCTCTCCACTGCCATTAATACAGAGGTAGCAGGAGAATAAAAAGAAAAGGCTTGTATTTGTTTCCTTCTTCAATGCCTGAAATGAGCATAATTGAATGAAAGCTGTTGAGGTAGGCTGCTACACTGCCGAAGACAAGAGAGAGAGAGTGAATGTTGTGGATCCAAGCGGTCAAGGCTTTGCTGGTTAGCTCAGCCCCCATCTACAGCTGGTAGATGCTGTAACTTCACCATGACAAAAATAAATAAATAACCCATCTTTCTCCATTGAAAACCATTTAAAAATATTCTGATATATATAACGTATAGGGGTTGTAAATACAGTAAAAAGAGTAATATTGTGAAATATTACCATTTAAAATAATTATTTGCTATTTTAATATAATTTATTCCTGTGATGGCTAAACTGAGTGTCACATGATCCTTCAGAAATTATTCTAATTAATTAACCAATTAACCTCAGTAATCAAACTAATTAATCAAACATTATTTTATTATAATCCATGTAACAGTTGTGCTGCGTAATATTATGGTGGAACACATGATACCTTTTTTGGGCATTCTCTGATAAATAGAAATAAGAAAAGCATTTGTTTGTTACTATTTTGCTACTTTTGTAACATTAGAAATGTGTTTACTGTCACTTTTGATCAATTTTTTAATGCATGCTAGCTGAATAAAAGTATTTTTTTAATCTGACCCCTAAACTTTTGAACAGCAGTGTATATAAATAATATTTTATATATTTATTTAAAGATATGTATTTTTAATATATTATTTGTAAACAGCAAATAATTAATTATATTATATAATACATTATATTTATATTATATGCATACATTGTATATTATAGTAGAGGATTTACCAGTTCCCAATTCATTTTGAAGCCCCAGATTCTTTATAAATCCACATCTCAGGATAGTTGCTAGTGAAGTGTTTGGGACTGTGCGCATACCAGTCACAATTGTCATAACATAATTTACCATATTTACAGCTCAGCTGATTGGTCAAAACATCCTGAGCACCGTTAAGCAAAGATGGCAGATTTTAAATTGCATGCTTTCGGGGAGACAACTGAGCGAATGCCATTGAGATGAATGGGAATGCTAAAGGATAGCTCTCTCTCTCCAGGTATTACAGGCCTCCTCGGGCAGGCCTAGTAAAGGTGGAGTGGTGCAAGTAATTTAATCGCCGCTTTCTGATGGCAGTGAACTGGTGGTGGATTTTGCCATGGTGTAGGTGACAGCTCAAATATATATTCTCCTCGTGGCCCTCTCCTGCTCACTCTCTCCCCACCTGTGATCATTCAGTAAAGTGATGACATTTTCTTTCTGATGGGAAATGCGCCGGAGCGCTTCTGTCATCTCTCTTGGCTTAAAACAAAGTGTACATAAGTTCAGTTTCCCCATTGCCCCTTAACTCCCTTACAGTTCTCTCTTAACTCCCTTACAGTTCTCTCTCGCTCTTCGTCCCCTCATGTTGTTGTGTGGCATGGTGCCCTCTCCGGATAGTTCTTAAGTGATGGCGACGGGGCAGCTGAAGATGAACCTCTAAAGGCTTTTACATAGATTGCTATAGGCCCAGGGTGCAGGCTGCTGGGAAGAATCTTGTGCGGACTCTTTTTTTCCTTTCTTCTCTCTCTCTCTCTAAGTCAAGCAGCGGGGGTCAAACGCTGGAGAAATTTCTGCATGCTAAACAGACCGGAAGAAGGTCGGACTGTGTGCTTTCATGCAGTCCAATGAGACGGTCCAGCGTGGGTGCAGGAGTTGAGCATTAGCCCCTAAATCAAGGCCTGCTCCGTTGCTCCGTTCCCCTGGTTGCTCAACTGCAGCCAGAGGACACGCAAAGACAATAAGGACAAACAGCCAACAGCATGACTGGCGGAAGGGGCATACTTTATGATTATATGGAAAACACTCAGTTGATTAATGCACCCATGCTGTGGATAGGGACAGCTTCTCAAATTTGACATACGGGCTGGTCAGAGAAATCGCCCTAGTGTGAGATTTTTTGTGTGAGCACTTTTTTGTTTTAAACAGGGGTTACATTGTATCTACAGAGGGTTACACTTTGACATGCAGAGCTCAGTTTTAGTATAATGGTGAGGAATAACAAGACCTGAGATGTGTTTCGTCCTCTTATAGAGAGCAAATGTCCGTCACCTCATTAGCGTATCTCTCTGATAAAACATTGTCATATGAAAGGTGAGCACGACCACCTTCACTCCCGTTCATGCCTCGTTAGTGTGCATGTGTGCGTGTCGTCCAAGGACGAACCTTGTGAGGGTGGAACATGTTTTTTTTTTTAAAGAGTCTAACTGCATTGTTCTAAAACACAAGCCCTAAAATGCTTTGCAAATTCAGACAAAACAAACCTTTATTTAATTATTTTAAACTCATAATATTATAAGTACCTGTCCTAAAATGACAAAAAAATTCACTGAAAATATTTTTGTCATACTCACTGTATGTGGATACTGCGTGCATCCAGTACGGTCAGGATGGTTGGCTCTACATGCGTGGGGGGCAACTGACCTGTGAACAGGGTAACCTGGGAACTGTTGGTGCATCCTGCCTCAGTACAAGCACTCAACATCAACTTATGAGGAGTGAATACACCAACACCTGGACAGAGAAAAAAAAACATCAGTATCACTTCAGAAAATGATTAAACACTAAATAAATAAATGATTTTACAAAAAAAGTAAAAGACTGAGAATGCAACATATCATATTTTATGGCGCTTATTCCACAGAGAAGCATTATTCTGTCTTACGTTTAGTAAAATAGGTTTAATGCAGTGGTAGAGTTCACTTGTTTGTTCTGGGTGAATTTACTCCATGTGACTTTGCTGCAGCCTGGAATTGAACTGCTGGTTTCGTCTGGTCAGAGGAGAACTGGCCCTCCGATTGAACCTGGTTTCTCCCAAGGTTTTTTCTCCATTCTGTCACCGATGGAGTTTTGGTTCCTTGCTGCTGTCGCCTCTGGCTTGCTTAGTTGGGGACACTTCATTTCCAGCGACGTCGTTGACTTGATTGCAAATGATTGCAAAGATACTATTTAAACTGAACTGAGCTGGATGATGACATCACTGAATTCAATGATGAACTGTCTTTAACTGAAAAATGAGTGTTTACTATTGTCATTTAGCATTATTGACACACTATTTTCTTAATTAATGCTGTTCAGTTGCTTTGACACAATCTGTTTTGTTAAAAGCGCTATATAAATAAAGGTGACTTGACATGAAAAAAAAGGTGACTCCAAGGCCTTTACATTTTTTTAACTTTTAACTTTTTTTAAATGTGTATTTATTTATTTAAAGGTTGACAAGATGTTTTAGTCTTGTAGTAGTTTTCACAATATGACCCAACTGAATTTAAATAAACAAAATGCAGAAATGAACAGTGATTGCCATGCTTTCTTTAACAGAGAGAAATCAGGTTTGATATTTGCATAACAACTTTTGTGTTCCAAGGGAAAACAAAGTCATATAAAATAATCAAACAAAACTATTGAGCAACATGATCTGTGGAATGTGCTACAAATGTACAAAATGTAACAAGTAAATGGGAGATTTTGCTCAAAGATTCTGGGGAGTTTGAATGGACATGATGCTTCAATAAAGCTCTGCGATACAGTAGATGTGATGTTACCATAATATTAGAACCTTAAAGTCCCTGTAAAATGACCTGCAATTGTAAACAAACAGTGGTTTCATTATCTTTAGCTGACATCTGTATTCCAGCTCTGTCACTAACCTTTCTATTTGGTCACAAACCTACAGAGATCAACCACTTCATGTACTTCTAATATGACCTGAAAGCTGTGATCTCTAATCTCTCGTTCTGCAGTATTTTTACATGTTTGGGTTCTTTATGTTGTTGTGATGATCAGTGAGCTCCTGGTACTCCCTTCCTCACACACAGCAGCCCCTGCTTCCACATGGCTGTGTTAATCATTTGTACTGGGAAACAAGAGCCGCAAACACTGCCTGAGAGCGGAACATTTCAAAGGCTCCTCTTGACGGGAAGGAGGATCTCTCCTTGAAGCGTCTGAAAGCAGTTTACTGTCAAGGAAGGAGGAATAAAAAAGGTGAGATATTCCAAAATCACAGCGGGGGCAGCTTGGAAGCTGAGCTAAGATATCCTGAAAGAAATTGGAATCCCCGGGTTTGCGCGTGGCAGGGTGAAGGGGAGGGGACAGCAGCCGCAGCAATGCAGCGCTCCATAGCTTCTTATCACATCAGACCTCTGCCTTTACAACGACCCACAATAAATACGGGATACCCCACAGAGCAGACTGAAAATAACATCCTGCCGCACAATGTGTCTTATGAGAAATGCCCTCAAAGCATTCAGTACATTTTCTACTTTGGCTTGGGGTTGTTATACATATGTAGTCAGGCATGTCTTTAGCCATTCAGGAGAGAAGCTCGGGCTGATCAAAAGGAAGGAGATGTAAACGGAGACCCCGGTGCGGTGCCTCTGAAGACTTTATGGCTCTTTACACAGACTCAATATGATATGTGCTCAGGTATTTCTCTCTGAGCATGGACTGAGAACATTGACTTTAGCATGACCTTTGTTTATGTGGGTTTATACGGGACCAGCAGAAACTAGACAAGGTTGAGAGAAAAGAGAGCTCACATTGTGACAACATCAACACTGGTTAGGTGCTGCAATAAAATTATATTCGGATACATGGACGCCCCAATGATTACACTCAGGCAAGCTGTAATTTTCAATCTGGATGTGGAATAAGACCATGGTCTCACTGATTTGTTGGTACCATTATCAAAACGCATGATTTTTTTACTTGGAAAAACAAGCTGATTATTATTTTGAAGCCATGAAATGTTTGGTTTTGATCACTCTTTCTAATGAAGATGTATAAGAAAATCTATACCAGATCTTTAGAAATATGCTCTGGTTAAGGTCAGGTATTTGCGCTTTTTTACTAAAACTTGATTATTTGCACTTACGTTATGATGTCAGATTCTTTATCATATATAAACTATCTTTATAATATATACACACAATATGTTATAATAATTTTATTACATTTAAATCAGATGTTTCTATAATTTTAACAGGATGGAATGTTTTAGCATGAGACAAACAATAATAAAAATTTAAAAAAAAGAAATTAAAAAAGTCCATGTGATTAAACTTAAACTAAAGTCATATTACACAGTAAAAAATATTTTTGTAAATAAAACGTAAAAAGTATAAGACAATACTATAAGTTTTTCTACTTCAAAAGTTCACGTTTAATTTAAATGTTACTTGCCCTTTCTTTTTAGTTGTTTGTGAAATTTACTAGCAAAATCTGAGTGAAAATTGTTTCTACACCTTTTTTTTTCAGTGTACGTATTACACTGAATTATGCACCAAAAATATGTAACTTCCTAAAGGATGATGCCATTAAGGCATCATTACAAAATATTTCAGATAAATGCTGTTCTTTTTAAACTTTCTATACATCAAATAATCCTGAAAAAAATGTATGTATCTTGGCTTCCACTAAAACATTAAACAGCACAACTGTTTTAATCATTAATAAGAAGTGTTACACTTTATTTTAAAGGTGTCCTTGTTACATAACTACTGTATACAATTAAGTACCGAGTAATATTAATTAACACCATTTACTTATTATAAGGTCTTGAGTGTACTTTCTTGAGCACCAAATCAGGATATTAAATTTAGATTTGACATCACAAGAATAAATTCCATTTAATTAAAATAGAAAACAGTTATGTTAAACTTTAGCAATAATTCCCAATTTTACCGTTTTCACTGTATTTTTTATAAAATAAGCCTTGCCTTGGTGAGCATAAGAAACTTCTTAAACATAAGTAACTTCTTCACAAGGTTTTTAGATGCTTGAGAATTCATTTCAGTCCAGTAGTGGAAGTGCCTGTGTCTATGTGTGGCAGCGTGTGTGTGAGGGAAGGAGGGGGCTGACATTCTGAATGATTCATCTCAGTGAGAATATACCTGTCCTGAGTGTAAATTGGCCTTTTGGGGGCTCCATATCATTTAGGCATGCTTCTCACCCTGGGTCAAACGGCGGCTGGAGCTTGGAGTCTTTTAATAAAACATCTCACAATGTTCATGCATTACCGGCAAGAGCAGGGGCTGCAGCTACTCACAAAAAGAGCACACAGGGAATAGAAAAAAAGAAAACAAACAACAAACAATGGGAGGCTGTTGGCCCTGACTCTACTGGCAAGATGAAATACAGTAATATAAGTGACGCTCTTTAGAGCAGAGCATCTGCTCCACCTATTCACTGCAGGATTTGATTAAATTGAACATGGACAGTCATTACCCTAGTTCAAGCCTGGCCCATGGGTCCACCATGTGGTCTGAATGTTTTTTTTTTCTTCCTTTCATAAAAAGGTAACAAGATTTGATCTCTGCATTACATTTTTTTCCATTTCTATTCTATTCTCTTTTATTTCTAATCACAATTGGTAAACACTAAATTAAAGCGAGAATGATGAGTTGGTTAAAGGAGACATATTACATGGATACCTTTTTTTCTGTCCTCAGACAGTTTATTTGCAAACTAATTTCCAAAAAGTAGTAAGTATATAACTATATATATATATATATATATATATATATATATATATATATATATATATATATATGTGTGTGTGTGTGTGAGAGTGTATATATTGACATATGACCTCTGAAATTAATCTATTTTAACATCTAGTCTGTATTTCTGCAACTTGAATTGGCATGAACAAGAGTGTGAACTAGGCCAGTACACAGAGGCTAACCAATCCTAAGAGAGGCAATTTACATATACTGTGTCCTGTCTTAATGGTACAGTAACAACCTGTTCAGTTCTAGGGGTCAAAAAGAGCGTGATTGGTTGTGTAAAAATTTAATTTGGAATACTTTTGGCTCAATAAACCTTTAACATGGACTACGTGCAGAAAAATGGCTTCTTTAAAATGCAAGTTACACATCGGACAGGACTCGCTCTGTGCAAAATTTTGCTGAAGATCTCAAACAAATTCTATCTGGCCCTGCATTTCATCCTTACAATATGGCAGTTATAACATGTTATAATTAGGGTTGGGTATCGTTAGACATTTTCCGGTTCCAGTTTTGCCTAACGATTCTGGTTCCATTTAAATTAACAATAATTTTTTTTTTTTACTATTTTACCTTCATTGAATGTAGTGTTGCTGGAAGGTAGCAAGTAATGTTGATTAATGCTAATCCATCAATCACATGTGCTTCAAAGTTGATGTTTTTTACACTATCAATAACATTTTGTTGTTCAAGCAGGAATAAGCTGGTTGGCCAAATAGTCCCTTGAGGGCTAAGACACTTGTTCATTTCCCTAAATTAATGAAATATTAACTGTTATACTTATAACCATGCATACACACATTCCATAAAGCCCCTATTTTACAAATAATAATGCAATCAGGAGATGGTGTGATGCAATGAGTGGTTTCCACATTTTTAAATATTTAAAATGCATGACAACAACGTGCAGAGTTATCAAAGACATGAGTGCGCATACAGTCATGGAAAACGATGTGTTCGGCAGTTAAAGATGCGGCGCGTCTGTGGAGTGCACGTCATGGGAAACAATGTGCTCAGTAATTAAAGAGGCAGGGCGGCGTTTCGGTTATTTGGTTTGTGACATCCTTACGGGAAACGCCGGCGCAAGGCTGCTCACAGCGCTTGGTCATGTGTCGCACCAGAACCGTTTTCGGAACCGAAACGGCTCTTTCTGGTTCTTTTCAAAAAACAGAAGCAGTTCTCGGTTCCCAACCCTAGTTATAATATAACATGGTTCAATGAAACACCCCTGGGAAGGTGTGAGCTGCTCTTTTGTCTTTCAAATGCTAATAATCCTCTTACTTTTGTTTTCTTTTTGAATTCTTGCATTTAATGTGTAAACATGGATAAAGTGAAGTACAAAGAGCATTTTTTTTTTCAGTGGTATTCAATGTTGTGGCACAAATGCTGTTTATATTGTTTAGCTTGTAATGAACCCAGAACATTCCTTTAATGAATGAGTAAAGGTCACAAATCTAGTTAATGTATCCGTGACCGTGACTGGACACTTGCCATTCAAGCAATGGACACCAGATAGCAAAGGCAACTCTTGCATTTCAAGTCTTGCTTACCTGTGATATTGAAGCTGGTCAAGTTGCCTTGGTACACAAAAGTATTGTCTTTGTAGAGGATATATTGGGTGATGATGCCATTGGGTTTAAGTGGAGGATCCCAGTGGACAGACAGAGAGTTAGGGTAAGAGATTGCAGCAGGTAAAGGAACCTCCTCCGGAGCTATTAACAATAAGACATTAATAAAATGATTAAACAGTTAATTACACATGTTAACTAGTAGAGACAGCAATGCATAGAGACTTAAGTAATAAGCAAAATAAAAAAATTAAATAAAATGATAAAAATATGAAAATCTTTTATTATTATTAATTATTTAACAGATTAAATAATAATACATATTTTCATATTTTAAGATTAATTATATATATATATATATATATATATATATATAAATAAAAGGTTCTGCACTATTTCTAGGTTGCTAATCGAATGCAAATTTGTGACAGAGAAAGACTGCCTCAATGAACAATTTAGGTCAAACATGTTCTGATCAACAGTAAGATGAGAACGAAGTTGATTCTGTAGGTGGTATTAAAACATTAAAATGTTAAAAATTTCCCTCATGGAGAATCAATACTGTCATTTGAGTTAGTAATCAAGTCCACATCAGATCGATTTTTTTCACTCCACGATGACCCTTAATGTCATACTATCCTTTAAACAAGGCTATTTAGCCCAACTTAGATTAAAACGCTATCTACATTTATCAACCTCTGTACTCACTGCTAAAAGAGAGAAATATCGGCCTAAAAACAAGCTAATTTTATTTTGGGACCAGCTCTATTTCTACAATCAGACAGAAAAAATAATTGCTGCTGACAATTAATCTGTCTTTATTCTTGCCGTTTCATGTAGGAAAAAGGCTCTCGTTCAATAGACATGACATTTTTTCCCTCTCTGACTGAGGAAGAAGGTTCTTTGTCTTGCCTGTGTGGCCAGACAGATGTGAAGGCAATAAAGAATGAGCCTGGAAGAGTTGAAAGAAAGCGAGAGGAATGATGTTTGCCATGGGGCGCTCATGCCACAGCAGCGAGCCTCACTAGATTGAACAAGATCGTTGGAAATGGGCCGCTTGACTCTCGATTTCATACTTTTCGGCTCCACAATCAATTCTTTTTAGCCCAAACTGTCTTTAGATTTACTTCTCTGCTTGAGTGAAATGAAGAAGCTTCCATTAATCTTTCAGATGCCGTACATTAAGACAAGGCTCTCGCATGAACAATGTAACAGCAATTAAAAAGCCCATTAATCTGCATTACAGCTATTAAAGATGCATGTCATTAAAGGGGAAAGAGTTCAATCCCGCACTTACCCCTGTTCCTAAAACCACTCTCTCCAAAAACGGGAATAAGAACCAGAGAGGGAAATAAAAAAATAAATAAGACGGAGCAATTACAGCCTGGCATTGCACTTTGTCATCAAATTAGTTTGGAGTTTTCAAGCAAATGGCTCGGCACTATTTGAGCCCCTCTCGTCACTTTCATTATTCATCAAAGAAATGTGGGAGTCAGGACCTTTTAAATGACTTTACCCTCTTGTGGAGTGCTGAAGCCGATGGCGAACGGGCTCTCGGTGCACCCGGCCTGAGTGCACGCCGTTAGGGTAATACTGTAGCTGCTAAAAGGAGCCAAGCCACTTAAAGTGCCTGTGAAAGAAGAGAGGAAGAGAACGATTCAGAGAGCAAGAGGTAAATGTCATTCTTTTCGCTTCCATATTTCAAAAAGTGGGCCTCCCCAACTCCGCTTCCTTAATGCAATGGCTTTTCAAACACAGCATAATATAACCATCACTTCTGATAATAGGTCTGGATTTAAAAAGGTCTTTATTATCAAACAGTAATATCTCCTATTAATCAGACGGATGGAAAGTGATACGGCCTTTGCTATTCCGGATATGGGACACTAATGATGTTATTTAATGGATAAAGTGGCTGATGCTGTTTAAAGGGGGTTTCTTGCACGCTATGAAAGTCACTATCCAGCCGTGTTGTGATCGATATGCCTCTGACTTTAATTCATCGCTCAGGACTTTAACCACTTAGTGATTGTTTTTGAAGATGTTAAAAACGTGGCCTCAGTTCAGCAATGTTTGTTCTGAGCTGGTAGACTGCTGGTCTGTTTTGATAGGGTCACAGACATCCAATCAAATTATATTCTGACATATGTTAACCTATCACTTGGAAGTCAGTAAACTTCATCCCTCATTCTCAACAAACATAAGCAAAAACTACCTAAAGTAAATGAAAATATGGGCCACATTACATTAACATTGAGAAAAACACGTTTTCTGTCAATCACAATTAGTTATGCACTTTGAAATGTTAGTTACAGAGTGCATGAAACCATCTAAATTCGATTGACATTTAGAAATCATTGAATAAATAACAGTTCTGTAATGATTTATGAATCAGAACAGATGACCTCAGCAAGTGCTGCTTTTAATTTATTTGTAGACTTTAAAACTGGATTTATTTTTTTAATTTGTCATCCAAAATAAAGGCAGGATCCTTTAATGGAGTGTATGAGTGAATCTTTGGCTAGCTTCCACTGTATCCATGTAGCAGACAGATCTTGGAAGAGTTGGAAGGTAAACACCCCAGCCGAGCTATAATTGGTCAGGTAGTGTAACTTTTTTTTTTTTGTCAGACGTCTTTTAATTCAATTAAGAGCCTTGACCTGCTCTCCTCTCGTTACCCACTCATTTGCTTTCTGAGTTTTTATCTGCCTGTGTAATTCTGCTTTTGGTGTCACGGCTATCATAAATTAGTGCAGCTTACGCTTGCATGGGTTGAAGCGTGCCAAGAACAAGGCAAAAAAAAAAGGTCTTCTTGTTACGCTTTGCCCAGAGACAGAGTATAGCCACGGTGATTGGTCATCTGAGAACGTAATCGTTGTTTCAAGGTCCTCATTTGTTCTTTGAAGTAATTTCAAGTAACCAAGCAGATTTTCAGTCTATAAACTTGCAATGTCACATAGGGAACACTGCTGTGACTACAGACTGTCTCGAGCATTAATGCGTTTGCTTTTAAAGGGACAGTTCACCAAAACAACAAGAATTGTATTATTTACACACCCTATTGTCGTTACAAACTTGTATGACTTTATGCCTTCCAAAAAACACAAACAAATTATATTCAGCAGGCTGCTCTCTTCTATACAATGAAAGTGAATGGAGACCAGGGACTGTCATGCTCCAAAAAGAACAAAAAAGTTCCATAGAAGTCCATACAACTTGTGCACTTTATTCCGAGTCTTCTGAAGCCACATGATGTTCCTCACTGTGAGCAAACTAAAATTAAAAACTTTACCTATTCACTGAAAATCTTGATTTATAGTCATGGTCACCATTGACTTAAATTGTATAAAAACAGCCTAGACATTCTGTCACCCCTTGTTAAAAAGAAGTGTGCATAATTGTCTTTAAAAAAATGTATTAAAAGAAAAATAAATCAAAAGATTATTAAGACAATGGTTTTAAAACTTTTCAAAAGTGCACTTATTTTGATGTGATTGTATAAAGTCCTTGATTATAAATTTAACTTTAATGTACTAAATTGTAACTTTATCATTAAAAATGTGTATTTACAAATACATTTAAATACATGACATACAAGTTCCAGTAGATAAAGTATATTTCATTTTACCATACATTTTTGTCAATATATTTGACAGAACAACTGAACCATATTTCAAACACAACAGAAGTAATTATGAAATTGCATATAAAGATTTATACTTAAGTCTTTCTCTTAAGTTCAACTAAATGCACATTTGCATTCATTTTGTTCTTAAGTATGTTCTTTTCATCTTTCCACTAAAGTGAACTTTAAAAATTTTTATTTTTTTTACAAGAGACTCCACGGAAGGTTTTGAAAGACATGGGGCTGAAATAAAAAAGACGACAATTTCCATTTTTGGATGAACTATTCCTTTAAAGGTTTAGACATTTCGCACAGGTTATAAAATAATAGCAAATTCAAAATCAACATGTTATTTTCCCTTCAAATTCAAGACATCATTAAGAATTAACCTGATCACTTCATGTTAAGTATGTTTTTCAAGCTATTAAAATGGTCCTGGGGTCTCTGAGGTTTCAGAGCCAAGCTCCAGGCGGACGGTGTGAACCTTACCTGTCAGGTGCTGAGAGTGGGGGAAGGTGGCGCTGATGGGGGGTGAGGAGGTATGGTCCTGGCTGTATGCTTTCAGTACGTACTTCTCAATTACACCTCTGACCTCCGCCGGCTCCTCCCAGCTCACCTCCACGCTGGAACCATTTACACTCCCAACTCTGGAGGGAGGCAGCACACTTTGTGGAACTGTACAGGAAATAATAGGTGAGAGAGACACGTGGAGAAGCAAAGCAGAAGAAAGACAGAGCGAGAGAGGCAAAGTAAGGGGGAGGAGAGGAATGAGAGTGTAAGAAACCAATTGGGAAGGAGAGAAAGTGTGTGTCAGGCCAAAGAAAAGCAGCACACACATTCCTCACTTTTAATAGACACAGTAAATCATATCTAACCATTAGCATAAATACAATTTATTAGAGTTGTAACTTTTTCAGCACTGATTTAATATGACTGTACATGCAGCGTTCATTCTGGGCTATATTTCATGCCCATCAAGCGACGGCTTGCTTTCTCTCCAGGATTCACATTTTAGGGGGCATAAATAAAACAGTCAAACATATGCAGAAATGCAACAAGCATCATTTATGATGTGTCACAGACTACAGAATCTCTTTAACACTCGTTTATACAGTCAAAACAAGCCAGACAGCAGACGTGTGTGATATATCCACCACTGAAACGCTGGTCTGACCTATAATGCGGTGTATACACATTTAAGTAGGAAGTCTTTGTGATTCATCATCTGTACCAACAGGGCTGGTATTACAAATTACTGAGGTTTCCTTAAAGGCACAATATATAATTTTCGCCGCTAGAGGGCACGTATTCAAAATAAACAAATAGACAAAGGTGTAGTTTGATGACGCCGGGACTGAGTGTGGAATCATGGGAGTTGTCGTCTTCATCCCCACAGCCGATGCAATCTTTAAAATGAAATCAAAATTGACCCTATTTACTTTCTTAATGGGTATGTAACTTTAAAGAAAATAAATATCTTGTCTTCTTAATCTTTATTCAAAATGAATTAACTATAATTTACCTATAACTATTTTAGATCATTGACTTAAACTTATTCCTGATGGGCAAAATCATGTCCTGTTTTATATTTCCTTTAATCTCTTCAAAATCAACCAGAAATTGCATTAAATTACATAAATTAAATGGGTGGCAAATGGCAATTTATTTAGACTTTAAGGTGCATTGTAGTAACTGTCAAATATGTTATTAAAAAAACACATTTATAATAATTAAATGTGTCAATACATAAAATGAAGCCATATTTCATAGCCCAATGTAGCTTGTAAAGTCTACTGTTTTTTTGTGCTTAATTAATATGCACAATTAAATGAAATATTTAACCATCATTTGACATATCTGAGCCTCTTTGTCTCAATAAGGACACCACCATCTCTCTCTCTCTCCCAGACAGCATCTTCATCTGTAATAAGGCAGTGTGTGTGATGCACGCTCTTACCGAGAGCTTTGCGATAAGCTATCTTCAAGCACATCTCATCTCCTTGACTGCTACATATATTGTGCAGATAAGAATAAAATGGGTTGGCCTGAAAACTATGACACAAACAAATATCAGTATGGAGCCTGTAGTGCTGGCTAAGTTATAGGCCTTTTTTGTCACAGGTGAGGGAGTAAGAGTGTGTGTGCTCAGTATAAATTACTGTAAAGTACAAATAGTAGCCAGAATACACTGTATTTTTTGGGAACATAAACTGTACTTTATGTATTTACCTAATTACATGTTATATTATTGTAAATTTCTTAATTACAAATTATTGTAATACAGTAAAAACAGTAATACTGTGAAATATTATTTTTACAATTTAAAATAACTGTTTTCTATTTGAATCGATTTTATAATGCAATTTATTCCTGTGATGGCAAAGCTGAATTTTCAGCAGCCATTACTCCCGTCTTCAGTGTCACATGATCCTTCAGAAATCATTATATTATGCTGATTTGGATTAATTATCAATGTTGATTATGTGTATATATATATATTTTAAGGCAAGTGTGTACATCAGACCATAGGATGTGGTCCTACCTGTCTCTCCGCTGCGCCCCCGCTGCCATGGCCCGGCTGTCCAACCTCCTTCTCCTGATGCCATCACTCTGTACAAATACTCTGTACACAAAGAGAAACATTTTTTTTAAAGAAATTTGCTTTCTCTATACCGTTCTGGCTCAAAAAAATAACAGGCTCATGAATTATTTCACTGAATGTTGATGTGTAAACCTGCTCACAGTAAGTCTGTTGTGGAAACACACAAACTTTTCTTACTCCATCTCAATCACTCACAAGAGAGGTACCTCGGCTATATTTGTCTGCGTGTATCATCTAAGATGCAGTTCTCAACAGTTTTGCAGTGTTGCTGATGAAGGGGACAGCAGTTGCTGTTTTAGATATGACCTCTCCGCGCCCCTGGTGTCGTGTCTGCACCCATTGCTGGGCTGGACATTTTCTGTTGTTCTTCTGTTTGGTCTTTACAATAACAAACCCCAAGCAGAAAGTACAAATCAGGACAAACAATCGCCTGACACAGAGACAAGGCAGGCAACGCGAGACCAAAATAGCTGCGGGTCAATGAGGCTTGGCTACCGTGCTAGTGGGGATTTGCTTGCGAAAAGGGGTCGGATGCTGCTTTTACCCGTGAAGGGCTGCAGAGTCAGGTCCTCTGCGCTCCTGTCTCTGCCCGTGTACACCAGAATGGAGTCGTTTCCCCTGCAGTTAACGCTTGTGTCAGCTGACAGGCATCCATCCAGATTGACTCTGACAGCACTGCTGGACACGGCCGCCAAGCTTACGACAGGCCCACGCGCGAATCTAACATCCCTGATGCAGCCGCCAAAACCTGCAGCGCAGCACAGAAGAGGATGAAAGAGAGACAAAGACAGGAGAGACAAAGGGAGAAAGATGTTTAAGTCACATTCTGAATTGGCCGGATTTATCTGAAGCAACAAAAACTGCCAGTAAACTCCTGATAGATAGAGTACATTTTGAGAACATTTTTATCAGTTCTATTTACACTGAACAAAATTATAAATGCAACACTTTTGTTTTTGCCCCCATTTTTCATGAGCTGAACTCAAAGATCTAAGACTTTTTCTATGTACACAAAAGGCCTATTTCTCTCAAATATTGTTCACAAATCTGTCTAAATCTGTGTTAGTGAGCACTTCTCCTTTGCCGAGATAATCAATCCACCTCACAGGTGTGGCATATCAAGATGCTGATTAGACATCATGATTATTGCACAGGTGTGCCTTAGGCTGGCCACAATAAAAGGCCACTCTAAAATGTGCAGTTTTATCACACAAGCACAATGCCACAGATGTCGCAATTTTTGAGGGAGCGTGCAATTGGCATGCTGACTGCAGGAATGTCCACTAGAGCTGTTGCCAGTGAATTGAATGTTCATTTCTCTACCACAAGGCGTCTCCAAAGGCGTTTCAGAGAATTTGGCATTACATCCAACCGGTCTCACAACCGCAGACCACGTGTAACCACCCCAGCCCAGGACCTCCACATCCAGCATCTTCACCTCCAAGATCATCTGAGACCAGCCACCCGGACAGCTGCTGCAACAATAGGTTTGCATAACCAAAGATTTTCTGCACAAACTGTCAGAAACCGTCTCAGGAAAGCTCATCTGCATGCTCGTTTTCCCCATCGGGGTATCGACCTGACTGCAGTTCGTCATCGTAACCGACTTGAGTGGGCAAATGCTCACATTCAATGGCATCGAGTGGCCCATGGTGGCGTTGGGGTTATGGTATGGGCAGGCGTATGTTATGGACAACGAACACTGTGCATTCAAAATTCCATCAATAAAATGCACCTGAGATACAGTGACAAGATCCTGAGGCCCATTGTTGTGCCATTCATCCACGACCATCACCTCATGTTGCAGCATGATAATGCACGGCCCCATGTTGCAAGGATCTGTACACAATTCCTGGAAGCTGAAAACATCCCAGTTCTTGCATGGCCAGCATACTCACCGGACAGGTCACCCATTGAGCATGTTTGGGATGCTCTGGATCTGCGTATACGACAGCGTGTTCCAGTTCCTGCCAATATCCAGCAACTTCGCACAGCCATTGAAGAGGTGTGGACCAACATTCCACAGGCCACAATCAACAACCTGATCAACTCTATGCGAAGGAGATGTGTTGCGCTGCGTGAGGCAAATGGTGGTCACACCAGATACTGACTGGTTTTCGGACCCCCCCAGACCCCCCAATACAGTAAAACTGCACATTTTAGAGTGGCTTTTTATTGTGGCCAGCCTAAGGCACACCTGTGCAATAATCATGCTGTCTAATCAGCATCTTGATATACCACACCTGTGAGGTGGATGGATTATCTCGGCAAAGGAGAAGTGCTCACTAACACAGATTTAGACAGATTTGTGAACAATATTTGAGAGAAATAGGCCTTTTGTGTACATAGAAAAAGTCTTAGATCTTTAAGTTCAGCTCATGAAAAATGGGGGCAAAACAAGTTTATAATTTTGTTCAGTATATTTTGAAACACCATGATTCTGTAACTATAATGTCTCAAATACTTTACTGCAGAAATCAGAGTGAATAATCCTAAATTAAAAACACAGCTTGCACTCAAGTCAGAGAACTATATCAGAGGGTATTTTTTTATTTATTTACAGAAGTTTTTGAGATAATAAACCTTCAAATAAACAGCAAGTGACTCACCGTGCAGAAAACTGTGTTTGTTCAGGGCTGGGTGCTTCACTCCAGGTGGGACTCCCCCTAGATAGAGTGGAGAGCTGATGGTCAGAGGGCCACCTATGCCCTTCCTGTCCTGTTCATATATGCCATTGAGGCCAGCACTCGCTAACGGGCCCCTCTTCAGCACATTTAAAGTGTTCCAGCCCCCATCACAATAGGACAGGCCCACCCATACGCTCAACTCTGCCATCTGTTCACCCCAACGCAACACCCAGAAGAGAACTCCACCCTGCAGCTCCGCCTGGATGTCATGAGGACACAAACAACAGTTACAATGATGTTTTGGGACACTGTACAAATGTATTTCTGCAAGTATATATTGTTAATTAAATGAATTAATTACACTAAATCAGATATCATTACTTGCAACACTGAGGTGGCACTTGAAAAGCAGAATTAAGCACAAGCCAAGTGCCATGACTAGTTTAAAGTCATAAAATCTAAATGTATAAAATTTAAATGCATTTATGATTTTTTTTGTTTCATTGAAGAAGTTTGGTTAATTATTAATAATTAATTGCATTAAATTAAGGGCAAGACTAGATAGCCTTAATGTTTAGATTTAAGCAAACTTACCAAAATGAAATCTTTCCCATCTATATCGTAAGCGAACAACAGCATTGCATTTAGCTGATCAGTTTTGAACTCAAATGATATTTCAAAATAATCTCCTCCAGCGAATATTTCAGGCTTGACCTTCAGAAACCCTGAATATAAAAATGAAAGAAATAGACTCAGTTAGAACATTTCAACATTAACATTACAGATTATCAGACCATGTGAAAGAAGACTAAAGCAGGACATACCATGTCCTAGGAAGTACGCCCCATCTTCAGAGACAGCAGGACAGCCCTCCCAGCTTTCATAGGTCTCATGTTTTTCAAGTGCTGAGTCCCAGTCCAGAGGCTCCCATGCATAAGTAGTGCCACTGGATTTCTGCACCATCACATCTCTCAAACACCCAGCAAACCCCTGCTGCACCAGCTTGGCTTGACCTGTATACACATAACAAGCACTTGCAACTCTTTGTAGATACACTGACACTGTCAATCAGATATTTAGAGATAAACTACCAGTGTCTTGTCTAAGAATGGTGAAATTCTCTGGAATCCCTCCTATGAAGACACCCGTGTTCTGACCAATGATGGTGTTCCCACTTGTGGCTGATGCTGATCCTGTTGGAGGAAAAAATATGTTCTTTTGAGACTGTTCCTGGCTGGTCTAATAGTCAGAGCAGGGCACATCAGTATTTTAACAACTTTATTGTTATATTCTAATGGTTTCAGTTGGTGCTCCAGTGCAGATAAAGTCATATTACTCCAAAAGAGTGACTGAGATAAAGCAATTCTCCCTCTAGTGGGAAAAATCCCCTGAGACCGCTTTGAGACAGGAAGCGGGAGACTCCACTTCACACCTCCAGTCTTAATTGAAATCTAAGTTCAGGAAAGGAGAGGCTTCTTTGGCCTAATTATTCTAATCACACAAAGAATGGCAACGATTAACCTTGATAATTCCTTTGCTTGAAATCTGTTCAAGTGGGGGGCTTTACAGGCACTGAATAACCGAACAGGACAGAAGTGAGGGTGCGGGGCTGGCCTATGAATATCATATGCGTGTGCGTCATTACCGCTGTACTGATTGTCGACAATGATTGTTCCCACAGCCTGTTTCCTGGTAGCGATCAGATGGTGCCACTGGTTGTCATTATAGCGTCTACCTCCATCGTTGCTAGGGCTGAGGGCCACGGCTGAGGCCTAGCATCAAACACTGAGGGTTAATCACTCGCTCATCATGAACACAACGCGCACACACACTGCACAAATGTGACCCTGGACCACAAAACCAGTCTTAAGTCGCTGGGGTATATTTGTAGCAATAGCCAAAAATACATTGTATGGGTCAAAATTATTACCAAAAATCATTAGGATATTAAGTAAAGATCATGTTCCATGAAGATATTTTGTAAATTTCCTACTGTACATATATTAAAACTTAATTTTTTAATTAGTAATATGCATTGCTAAGAACTTCATTTGGACAACTTTAAAGGCAATTTTCTCAATATTTTGATTTTTTTGTACCGTCAGATTCCTGATTTTTAAATAGTTGTATCTCGGCCAAATATTGTCCTATCCTAACAAACCGTACATCAATGGAAAGCTGATTTATTCAGCGTTCATATGATATATAAATCTAAATTTTGAAAAATTTACCCTTATGACTGGTTTTGTGGTCTACAATGATGGCTGATCAGCAGCTTTAGGAAGAAGAGACGTTCCCCTCCCTGTGCTGCAGTAGAGCTTAGGAGGTAAAAATGCATGTATATAAACTAATGTAGAGTAAATGCTTTCAGCATTAACAGGATGCAAAATTGCAATTTGATCTTGAACGTAAAGAATGTAAAATTATTTGAAATAAAGAAATTCACATAACTACACTTTCAACTACAAAAGCAATTTGCCAGGAAAAACGTTGAATGATTGGCTAAGCTTTGTTTGACGGTAAAAAAAAGTTTATAAAGCTTTGAAAAAGACAGACAGACAGAATGATCGACGGAACAGTAGACAGAACAACAGACGGATAGAAAGAACAATGGATAGAATGACAGAAAGTAAAACAGAACAACAAACAGAAAGACGAATAGAACAACAGAGACAGACAGAATGACAGAGAACGACAGACTGTCGACAGACAAATGAAATGATAGAATGATAGATAGAACGACAGATAAAATTATGTAATGTGCACAACCCTGGTAGATACTGTTGAATTCACAGAAATTCTTCCTTAAATTTCTGGAAGTTAACACATTTAACTCCACAGTCAGCATTAAAATGAGTTTCAAGCTCAATAAAAGTGCAAGGTCACTAGATGTAACAGGTAGTAGATGAAGATAAAGATTGTCACACTGACATATACCCAAAGCTAACTTTGACTATTTACGCTGCAATGTCTGAGATTATAGAGGAGAAGTTGGAGATGAAGTTGAAAAACTATCACCAGAATCCCTCTTGGCACAGAACTCAAGCCGCTGAGGAATTCTGCCCAGAGATAGGACATTCCCCAAAAGCAGTAAATTTGGCTGGCACCATCAACATAAGACATAACATATGACATCATTCAGGTTCATACACTTAACAGCCTGACTGAGTGCTCTGCAGTGAAAGCACCGAGACACAAAGTATCGCATCTCCTCTTTGTGATGAAGATTTAATGATCAAATCAATATCTGTGTGGATGCTGAGGGAAGTCAGCCCTGTGATATGCCTACTGCAGAGAGAGAGAGAGAGAGAGAGAGAGAGAGAGAGAGAGAGAGAGAGCGAGGGAGAAGAAGAAACAGCTTTAGAGAGAATTCAGGACAGACACAACACTGCATTCCTATCCCTCCTCCCTTTGAAAGTATTCAATGGGGCTTCTTTACGATGGGAGATCAATTCTGTCACAACAACTAAAAGCCTTTCTGAATAAAATCATCTGCCAGCATTTTAACAGTTAACTTTTTTAAACAAAAAAAGCCTAGTCTTGTTCAGTGAGAGGCAGACCTGTCAACGACATCATGACCTGACCATCTGATGTAATGTATCCAGTCAAGTTTCGGTCACGTGCCGTAAACATCAGCTAGGGATTTCTAATGACTGAACCACAAACCATCAGTCACAGCATTCATCAATTTTAAGAAAACATCGCAGCAATGCTAGAGGATATTTACACCACAAATCATCTACTTGCATAAATTAATTGCTAATTGCTCTCATGAATTATCAATTAGGTCTTGTTTCAAGGGATTGTTTTAGATAAACATACAAATACTGAGATATGCTTAAAGAAATGGCTCTGCTCGGTGTCCAAAATACTGAAATTCTGTTTTCATTTATTCACCCTCATGTCTTTTGTCCTTCATTTCTTTCTTCCATGGAGCACAAAAAGAGACATTCTGAAGGATGCACTGGTCGTTTTCTTACTTGTAAGTGCAAAGAATTTGGCCCTAAACCTGCCTTAAAGGGATAGTTCACCCAAAAATGAAAATTTGATGTTTATCTGCTTATCCCCAAGGCATCCATGTCCAGCTGCTTTGAGCACGCGCTCTGGCGTAGTTTATGAGTTTACGCAAGCGCCAGAAGTGATCTCTCGCGCTTATACGTCACTCATTGTTTACACAGTGCACAGTCATTGTAGGTACGACGGCTAATCAAAATGGTACTTACTTGTGCTTATCCGGATTGTTCAAACTGACTTCTGAGCCTGCTCGCCTGAAGTTATGGTTGATTGCTCTTCGGCTAGATATCAACACACTGTGACGAGTCGGCTGCCTCCCCCTAATTATCAGCATCACCCCGTCCCTTAATCGCCGCCCTTTGCTAGGCTCCCGACAGGATTGGGTGCGTGTGAAAGAAGGGGCGCTGAAATAGCCAGGGCTGGCTGCGTGTGATGGGGCACACCTGAACCGAATGGAGCCTCATCGCCGCCGCTGTTTAAATGCAGAGCGCACCTCTCCTCGGGAGACCGGTCTCTTCCCCGTGCATGCATGCTGGTGTCCTCGTGGGTCCAGGAGGGGTGCGTAGAGGAACTCCCGTGCCGCCAGAGTCGTGAGCTGCCGGACCCGCAGCCCGGACGAGAACCGCACCCGTTATACGGCCGTCGGGCAAGGACGCTGGGCCGTCTAGTCCCTTCAAGCGCCGTGGGCAGAGAGAAGGACGAAGCCGCTAATAGAAGCCGCCTCTGCCCCTTACCTGGACCCTTCCTTCCTTCCTGACCACTGCCCTTCCCTTCACGAACCCCGCAGCAGTTAGGACATCAATGTGTCGTCACGAGCCGCAGGGTTTAATTTGGATTTGTCTGTGCATGTTTTTTTTTACACTCATAGACTTTGTTACCATTGCCATCCATTATAAGACTGATAGACTGCAACGGTTGGACTTAAAAATCATCAAATGTGTTCTACTGAAGAAACAAAGTCACCTACATCTTGGATGCCCTGGGGGTAAGCAGATAAACATAAAATTTTCATTTTTGGGTGAACTGACTGATTATTTGAGACCACGAGTTGAACTCAAGAATCCGTTCATGAGCAAATCAGTCAGACCAATTTTGTGTCATTTAAACTATTCTATTAAAGTGGTTTTCAACCTTTTAAAACTCAAGGACCAACACATTGTCCAACTAATTTTTAATATAACTCATAAGATATTTTCTTTAGTTTTTCTGATGTAATTTTGAGAATGCTGCTTGTTTTTATTTATGTATTTATTCTTATTACAGTAACCAGGAGTTTGCTCACATATAAAATTAAATTAATTACCATAGTTCATTTTGTGATTTCAAAATATCCAAAATTCTTATTCTGTATGGTTTTCATTTATTTCATTTTGCATCAAGGGGGAAAAAAGTATTATTACCAATTTTCATCATTTGTTTCTTCTTCCTATTATTATTGTTTTATTTTTAGCATTTTCTAACTTTTTATTTTTAATCCCCATTTTTTTCATAATTTTAAGTCATCCTGTGGCCCCCTTGGAAATTTGCTGAACCACCACCCCAGAACCACTGCTTTACAATTCACAAATTCAAAGAATAGAAATAATTAAGAAACCGAAATGATTCAGTCAATAATTTTGAAGATACTGAAAATTCTCCCTTGAACTATAAAAACTAATGGTCAATGGAAAACAGTGAGCATGGCACAAAGAATTTACGCACTAACACCGCAAAGAGTTCATTAAAGATCTGTTCCACAGCAGTCCTATGGAAGCTGCTAAAGGTTTTGGTGATGTAGGGTGTGCCATTAACATAGTGAGCAGTGTACTCTTGCTTAATAGCCCTTGAGTTTGTTTAAGATGAAATGGCCAATGTCCATGCTACTAATGCAACTAATCATGCCCATGGGCTTTTGAGAGACCTTCTCTCCTCACTGTGTCTGGAAACCACTCATCACTCGCTCATATCTGAGAGACTCCGATAAGGAGACATTGGGAAAAACAGAATCATTTGTGACAGCCTTTACAGGAACTAAATACGCTTTCATGAGACAGTGTTTCATAAAATGCTCATTAATTTCATCATTAGAAAGAGTGTGTGGGGAAGCATACCAGTTCCCTGTGTCACGCTCAATTAGCATCCCATGGTGCTAATCCCATTAGAATTGTTGAATTCGTTAATGGGGGAACTAATGGGCATGCTATCAGGGGACATTAATTGGGCATGACACCACTTTTAGTTATAATTATCAAACTACTCCGACAAAATGTGTTTACGAATGCAAAACTGGCAATATTCAGCAATGGCACTTATTGGTGGGGAGAGTTTCTCGGTGGTCTCCTGGACACTAATATGAAATCATCTTTCATGATTGCTTTCATCATCAGAGCAATAGGCTCAACCCTGCATGCTTGTGCTGCAGTGTGCATAATTAGCATGCTATTGCTATTCCCACCCAATGTCTGCAGGTAACATGTTAATTGGTCTCAAACACTCTTTTAGCTGAAGTTTTTTGAACAGAAGAACTTGAGTTTATCCATCAAAATGCACAAATTTCTGTCTAAAACAGGTAGATATAAAAAATTCTGGCCGATACGATAAGTTGTTAATTATTTTTTATGTTATTACTATTAAATATTCAATATCGACTGATATCGTTAAATGAAATCGCTAATGTCAGCCGATAAATAATACGGTACTGACATATAATACACACCTGATGTAGAGGTTGGGATCCATTACATTTGAAGGTTTGAAGCCTTTTTGTAGCATAAACAAACACATGACCACGATGTACCTGAGGGTCAAAGAGGAAGTATGGACGGCCGTTGTGTATTTGCAGAGCGACATACTCCTCCTGTTCCCCAGGGGAAACCGCAAACAGCAATAGTCCCTCCTCGACGTGTGTCCGGAAACTCAGCTGCAGGCCTAGAGAGACAGTCAATGCATGTTGCATATTAATCGACAAAATACTGTACATAAAACATTATAAAGCATGTCAAAATGCAAGAACACAGCAAAAATTACATGTATAAGAATGTAAGAGCAAATGACAAGATAAAAATGCCCGGAAGTGTGAGAAACTGAGCTCTAAGGTGCCAGTGTGAATGTGTATGAGTGTGTAATGCCTGTGAGAACAAAACATTGAGTGGTGCCTGGTCCCGCAGTGCCTGAGCAGATCTACCCTCTAAAGACTTTATCCTAACCAAAAAAAAATCCCCCACAACTGTTCTTAGTAAAACCTTCCACCATCTGACATACAAAAACACATTTAAAGTGATATCCCTCTTCAATATAAGTTCATTAATATATGAACTACTGTGACTACAAACCCACTCAACTACAGACTGCTTAGATTAAAAAGATTCCACTTAATCTATCTTTAAATCTCCAGTGGATTGAAGAGGTTGTAAGTCTGGTTGACCTCATGTAGAGCAGCAAGACGTTTCTTCAGGCTTCAGATATATAAAACTGATACAGGGATTATACCATCTGAATACCAACCCTACAGGACTGACTCTATATGCTGGATTCAACTGATAAAACTATTATATATTACATTATATAGGACACATGAAATTATTAACGTGACAATAGACATAATATAAGGTTGCAAAATATTTATACTTCAAATAAATGCATATTCTTTGCATTTTCCATTCATCAAAGAATCCTGAAAAAAGTATAACAGTTTCCACAAAAATATTAGGTAGCAGAGCTGTTTTCGTAATTTAGACCGTTTTTGGCATTTATAATAATATTGATAACAATGTTTCTTGAGCACCAAATAAGCATATTAAAACAACTTCTGAAGGATCATGTGAAGCATCATACTTTGCCGCCCCCCCCTTTAGTTTCACGTGTATAATAGTCTAACTCATACATATACATGACATACACATAATGGTTAGTGAGTCGGACTCAGAACCCAAAGGTTGTGGGTTCGAGTCTCATACCGGCAGGGTTTGTAGGTGGGGGAGTGAATGTACAGTGCTCTCTCCCACCTTCAATACCACGACTGAGGTGCCCTTGAGCAAGGCACCGAACCCCCAACTGCTCCCCGGGCGCCATAGCATAAATGGCTGCCCACTGCTCCGGGTGTGTGTTCACTTTGGATGGGATAAATGCAGAGCACTAATTCCGAGTATGGGTCACCATACTTGGCCACATGTCCCGTCACTTCATATAAAACGAATGTGTGCCAAAAGTCACATAAAATGTGAATATATACATATATATATAGTTTTAAGTGTGGTGGGTAGATATACGTTATTTATATACTGTACATACTTTATATTGCCTAAAATAAGAATGTACTTATTTTTTTTAAAACCCTCATTAAAAATGTATTTGAAATGTGAATTTCTGAATTATGATGCTATTTTTATTCAATCACATATTTACCATGACAAATGTATGGTTGACTTTATCATGGGGATTGAGCACCTTAATCCAGCCCTTAAGAAGGTATTCTGTAAAGAACACAGAGATCTTGTCTCATGTTGATCAGACAGTCTCAGTCCTACAGAGGGTGGTGGGGGAGAACCTGGATCAGAAGTTGTAGGTTCAGCAGAGCAGATCTCTCTGGGGTGATCAGCTATTTTTTGACAAGTGCTTCACATCCATCAGAACGTCTGGTCCATTACAGGAGAGGGAACGTGGAGGCTAAAGGGACATCTGTGGGATTTGAGATCCCAGTGGAGCAGTGTGGTTCTGTACGCACTGACAGGCCTGTCCAGAAAAGCTGTGGTCAGAGGTCTCTCAGGTGCAGGGCCGGTCTGAGCAAGCTGATGAGGAATGAGATTCACCTCTGTGGGTCTCAAGACTAACGCTAAGACGAAAGATGTGAAGCACTTTTACATGAGGACTGCATCAGCACTTTAGGAAACAGTGCTTTAGGACACACCCACCAAATATGGAGAGAGACTTTATATTATTTATATATATATATATATATATATATATATATAGGGGGTTGTGCAAATAATCAAATGCGATTTTCATGCGCATCTCGTCAGTAAAGCCGGTTCTGTATTTAGTAGTAAATCTCCAGCACGTGCGTTCAGATGGAGCGGCATTTACTACACAGAGCCGTAGATCACTAACAAGTAAAGAATATCGCGTTCATAATCGGCAATGAATCGCCTACGATTTTGAATGCGATATTGCGTTATATATAAATATATATATTTATACACATACATATACAGTAACATTATTCCAAATTCTACATTTATTAAATCCTTTTGTTTGAACAATTAAAAAAAATATATGAAGCAAGGATATATTTGGCAGTTGGTGGATAATGGGAATTGATGGCAAACATGTTTATCCCAAAATATTTTTCTCTGCCAAAAAACATCATATCAGCTATAAGTAAAACAAACAGGGCTATTTGGATTTAATCTGCTCGGTACATAACCTGAATAACTTCAGTCATGTTAGTATTATTGCGGCATTAATCACGTTGTTGCGTATTAATGAGTTTTCAGGAAATGCTAATTACTGTCATAGATTCTGCAGCACCCCATTAAATATACAAATTACAGAATTAAAGAGCCAGAGCTTTTCATGATTAATCTTTAAATGGGGAAAAACTAATGATGTCTGTACAAAGTTTCCATCTACTTTCCACTGACTGAAGCCGTTTGACAATCAATCAAATTAATTAAGGAAAATAATTTGTATCATTTAACATTTTGTGCTACAATAGCATGTAGTCTTTGAAAATTGCTTCATTCTCATGTATTACTGCCTCCCATTTTGTGAAACTGTACATTTATTCACTGCCAATGGAGATATGAAAATAGACTGACTTGAAAAGAAAGAAATAAAAGTGAAATATATGAATACTACAGACAATGGGCAAACGAGACAAGCCTGAAATACAATATATTACAAATAAAATAAAATAAAATGAGACATTAGATCAAATGTTCTGATAGGATTTTCACTGTTACTTTAACGCACACACATTTTACATAAACAGAAAAAAAGAACACGACTGCTGCTATATTTCAATGACGATCAAAACTCAAGTCAATTCACCTCAACTATACTGCATTTTTAATCTCATTTTTACTTTGATTTGTTGGGACTTGCATCCTTTAACAAAGTCATTTCAAGCACAAGATTAGATGATCATTGATTTTGCTTAATTTATTGCTTTGGCTACATTTCAATAATATACAAAGTATTTGTCCCTGAGCATGCTATTTGTTCATCGCTTTCTGCTGTTGTCATTATGCCTCATTTCAGCTATTGAGCTTTTCAGTCCGATTTATCCAGTTCTCGAAGTTCAATAAAACAAGCAGCTTATTTTCAGCAGAGAAATCGGTGTTTGGGGTAGTGCATCACAGAAATCAACAACAAAAACATTTCAGCTGTTTAGTACCTGCATTTAAAATAAAATCAGATGAACTAAAGGTGTGGAAAGTGTAAAAAGCAAAGGTGGCTAAAAGGGGTGTTGTCGTTCTGGTTTGTTCTTTGAGTTCCCTCATTAGTTGGTAGCCATTTATAATCCCAGCAGGCCCAAGGACGAGCTCACCACTTTGACTGAAGCCATTGATCAATTAGGGAGTGAGCTGAACTCAACTCAGGGCTTGATTTATAAAGATTTATCCGTTTGTCATTATTTAAGGAAAAAAAAAACTGGAAATTGCAGTGCTAAATGTTAATAGAGTTAGAGGGGGAAATGGCCATTCATTTCCTGAAATTGCAAGGTCACAAAGGGTCACCCATTTATATGCACGCTCCTTAAGGAGGCAATTTAATGTCCCTGACTTCTTAGGGAGGATCTACTAATTGCCTCGTTTTAATATAAATAAAGTCAGATTTCCCAGATATCTTAGAGCATGTGTCCAACAAAAAAGGGCTTGTGACATGACATGGTTTCATGTTCATTTGTGGATTAGGCAGCACGGAGAGGCTGGGGAATGGAGAAGAGAAAATGGCATAAACATGGCATAAAGCACTTCTCCACCGCACATTCTCACCTGTGAATCACTTTATGCTAAAAATGTACCACATCAAACAAAAAAAACAACTCATAAACCTTATCCTCATGTCACTCAGAAGAGGTCATCTGATGTTTGCCTCCTCCATCACATCACACTGACCAATCTGATAACTTAAAGCAATGCCTTCCGAGCTTTTAATGTAATTAAAGCACAAGTAATCTAAACAAATGGCAAGCTGAAGGATTTTTGCATTAGTAGATGAACCGGAACCTGTATTCATTTGAAACTCAATTCCCCAATTATGTTTGTAAACAAAAGTATAATTGCCCTTTGTCTAATCATGGAAGTCATTAATACATCAGTATGGAGAAGAGTGAGGAGAGGAGTGAGAGATGAATAAAGTGTGTTTAGGGTGGAACAATGGGGTTGGAGTGGCCCACATGAACATTTGAAAATGCTTCAGGAGTGGGAAGAAAAGTTAGTTTAGAACCAACACAAATCAATACAAATGTCAAGATAGTTTACATTTAGTCTTGATGGTAATAACTGTTCATGCAGTTTTAAACTACTTAACTGCTCATTAGCACCAGCCTGAAACACAACTGCCAATTAAGGCACTTATATGTGACCCTGGACCACAAAACGTCATAAGGGTCCTTTTTTCGAGAAATTGAGATTTATATATCATCTGAAAGCTGAATAAATAAGCTTTCCATTGATGTGTGGTTTGTTAGGATAGGACAATATTTGGCCGAGATACAACTATTTGAAAATCTGGAATCTGAGGGTACAAAAAAAAAATCAAAATATTGAGAAAATCGCCTTTAAATTGTCCAAATGAAGTTTTTAGCAATGCATATTACTAATAAAAAATTACGTTTTGATATATTTACAGTAGGAAATTGACAAAATATCTTCATGGAACATGATCTTTACTTAATATCCTAATGATTTTTGGCATAAAAGAAAAATCAATAATTTTGGCCTGTTCAATGTATTTTTGGTTATTGCTACAAATATACCCCAGCGACTTAAGACTGGTTTTGTGGTCCAGGGTCACATATGATTCCACATTACAATGTACATGTGATTGTACTCTATTTGTTGCTGGAAGTCTTATGTTGCATTATTAGTGTAGCAATCAACAGTTATTGAATGATTTTCTGTCAGCTGATCATATTCAATAATAATTTTTAAGTTCAACAACAATTAATGTATTATTTGACAATTTTCAAATCACATCAACTAAAATTTTCACATTTAACTTTGTTTGGTTAACTTTGTTTACACCCACTTTTCACAATCCAATCAATCCTCAATAGATAAAATTGTCCCATCTGACTTTTATTTTTCTGAGTGAATATCTGAATTCTCCTGAAAATACACCATATTATGTAAATAAAATGGGTACTGATCTGCATTTCACAATCAATCATGCATTTTGATGCACATAGAGCATCGATGAGACCCCGTACCTGTGAAGTCAGTGTTGACAGGCAAAGTGGAGCTGGGAAATCTGAAGTAGCCACTCCCTGTGAAGCGTCTCCCCCTTATAACCTGACCCTGGGTGTCAGACAAAGACACATCCGTCCGCTCCACATGGTACAGAGGTGGAGGCCCATTGAGCTCGGCCGGGGCATCCCAGGAAACCTTCATCACAGTCATATTCAGCGGTCTTAATGTAGGGGCGCTTTGACCTGCCGGGGCTATCATAACAGAAAAGAGGAAAGGATGGAGAGATATGAGAATGAAAAAAAGAGATGTGCATTTATAGTCATCGCTCAGTTTCATGCATGCTGCTGTAATGATCTAATGGGGCTCTCATGTAGACTGAGAGGAGGTAAATTACCTCGGCCTGACACATCCTCTGTGCATTTAGCCCACTCTGCCTGTCAGGCCGTCCACACCAGCAGTGCTAATAAAAACCCTCCATTGGGAATGGACGTGTTGTCTTCCAAGGCCCATCACGGCACACAAGTCATAAATTACACTCAATCAATACCACTTGAGTCTATATAATTGAAACTCTGATATCATTTCAAATCCCTCCCGCTGATTTAATAGGATTTGTGTGAAGTCTCGCTGGACATTTATCATTTTTTTCCCTTAAAACATAAGGCGGTAAAAATGAAGTGTGACTGACGTGGCTTCATGTGCCCTTAAGTACTACGAAGGAAGTGATTATTCATGAAGAGTCTGCAGATGGTGGAAACTCATTAAGGGACAGTTCACCCAAAAATGAAAATTCTGTCATCATTTACAGAAGCAGCCATTTGTGAATGAATTGTTCCTTTAGTAGCATCTTTTTAATGAATCAATTGTTCCAGTTCAAAAAAAATATATTAAAGATAGCCACAAAGGTTTGGAATGACATGAGGGTGAGTAAATGATAACAGAATTTTAATAATTGTTTTTTAATATTTTTCCAATAAAAACATTTTTTCTTAGTGTATTATAGGCTAAATTAAAACAACATAGCAGCACCAGCATGGTTAAGCAATTCATCTTTTTCAAACCAGCGCATTTAATGTTTTGACATGGCTCACGGGCTCAGCAAAAAGGTTAATATTGTCTTCATCATATTAATGAGTAAGTCAAAGAAAGACATGTCTAGCACCAATTACAGCCTGGCCTGAGTGTTTTCTGTATTTATACAATCTGACGTTTTCCATGGAACTATAATACTTATTTCTGTAACAGGAAAAGTATTGATTTATGCATAATTGTCTAACCCTCTCAGCTGCAGGCGAATACATGCACACAATATTTCGAGTCAATGCAATGTGTACAGGCGGGATACACTTGTTCTGCTTGTCTTTATGGATGTAATATACATAAAACATCACCATCAACTCTTGATTAGCTGTTCACATTTCAACAAGATCAATAATGGCAGTGTGCTTCCTTTTTAAAATGCTACAGGCTTATGTCCTCATCAGAGAGGGCATGTGCGCTCAAAAGAGAATTATGGTTCCTTTTACACAGAAAAAAGGAGAAGCTTTTTGGAGGAATTATTAATATTTGTTGAACATTTTTGAGCAGTATATATATATATATATATACAAGCACTGTATATTCAAAAAGAAAAGTTATTTTATATTGTAATAATATTTCGTAATATTAAGTTTATAATAATTGAAAAAAAAAAGTACAAAGCCCAAACTTTTGAATGGTAGTGTACATGAGAAAATAAGAAAATTCTCTTAAAATGAATCTTGCATCTGACAGAGCTATAAATTGCGGATTTTATGCATTTGAACCAATCACGGCAGCTTGCCAACCAACAATTAAATGGATTGTGTACAATGATTTTGAATAGTTACTCTCTTGCTATGCATGCAGAAATGTATTTGATCTGCGTCACATTCTGCCTGGTTGTTTAATGTAATTTTCATTGATTATATGGAACCAAAACCTTGACCGCAACTAGGAGCAAAATATCAAATATTGTGTTTGCTGAGATCTTTCCGGTCTGTTCAATAAAAACGTCTCAGGTTACTTACCATTTCAAGGGAACATCGAATTGCGTCCTCTAGGGGTCGCTATGGGGAACGGTATACCCACGCCGCCATGCTGAGGGGAGTGCAGGCCAGAACCATGGCGAGCACTAAGTACCAACTTTACCATTTCCATGTTGAGTTGCCCCTGGGATGTCAGACAGCTGTCCGTGACTTTATCCCCTACGGCCAAAGGCCTGGGCTACATACCAAACTTACCTGTTAGGGTCAGACTCCTGGGCCCTGGGTAGAGCTCAAGGCTTGGAATCATAATGAATTCCTTTAAGGGGATACAACCAAAAAACCTAGTATCACACTAAGTCTTGGCCTGTCACACAGGGGCTACTGCTTGCTCTTGCCTAAGCTCTGAAAGGAACTGTCTCAACAGACCTCCAGTGGCAACACCCTGTTAAAGTGGGTATCCTAGGATACCTAAGTGAAGTGGCGCCCAAGGTGAACGGGGCTAAACCAGCTCAAGAAAGGGCACGAAGCAACCGCGCGAAGCCCTCACCCTATAGGATTTTAGAAAAGAACGCAAAGAACTAGCGTGCGAACTTACCACAATGTGGATTTTAGAAAGTGCACAAAGCCTTGACGTGCACACTTACCATTACATGGATTTTAGGATACCGTTCTAAGGGGGGCTCTCGTGGCACTCTGAAAGAGCAGCTCATAGATGGAATGGTGCAACAAAACCCAATATGTTTTGAAAGCACCAACTCGATTCTAAGATATAGACACGAGAGGAGAGCTCGACCTACCGCATGTTCCAATGCTGGAACAGCTAGCAATAATTTACTTAGCTGAAGGAGCAATATACCCAGCTCTAAAACAAGAGGGAGGCTCGGACCTACAGCATGTTCCAATACTGGAACTGCCAGCAGTAAGTTACCTAGCTGAGGGAACACAGACCCAGCTGATGGGGCTCGCCCAGCATGATCGTTAGAAATCAGAGGTAAGTGTACTGTGGAAATGAGTAGATACTCACGTATCACTCTGATCTGGATGAAAGCGCTGACGCCTTGTCTGGATCACATCCCTTAGGTCTTGCCTACCTCCCTTTGACCCACGATTCCTCCTAGCCTACAAGGAGCGCGAGTCGCGACATTAGCTTTCTGTGCCCGTCTCTGATCTTCAGACCGAGACTGACCAGGACCCCTATGTTGTTCATGCTCAGACCTGGACCTTCGTGGAATGAAGGATTTAAAGGCTGCTGAGCGCGCCTTCGCCTCCCTGAACTTCTCGACCACCGTCTCAACGGAGGTACCAAAAAGTTCAGAAGGCGAAACCGGAGCATCGAGAAGAAAGCCCCTCTCTTTCTTCCCGATATCTGCCAGGTTCACCCACAGATGTCTCTCCGTTACTACCACCGCCGCCATAGACCTGCCCATGGCGGAGGCGGCCTGTTTAGTAGCACGGAGAGCAAGATCTGTGGTGCGGCGCAGCTCAGCTACCTGATCAGGAGAAAGGCCCTCACCTTTATCCAGGTCTTTCAGTAGATCAGCCTGATACGCCTGGAGCACCGCCATAGTGTGCAATGAAGCCACAGCCTGACCTGCTGCTGGAGGTTTGGGAAGGCTCAGCCTCAGCCTCTTCGCCGTCCATAGACATCTCCTGCTCTTCCTGGGCTAAACCCAGCAGAGCACTGGCCCCCGGATCAGATGTCAAAGAGATAACATCATCCTCCAGCGGCTCTCTCTCATCTGCAGCCGACGAGCGCGAGAAGGAAAGCCCCTCCCTAAACTCATCAAGCCAGGTCCACCTGCGAACCCCATGAGCTCATTCTCCTCCGTGCCTCAGCAGCGGCGGGGCCTGAACCGTGGGGGGGAGATGGCTGCCCCCCTTTCCTCGAAAAAAAGAGACAAATGAGAGGGGAGCTTTTTCATCGAAAA